TCAATATAATGGTTATTATATCAATATTTGCGCATAAAAGCGTTTACACCAACATTTCTAGCATCATTTGACACAAAAAGATCCCACCTTGTCTAGCATATTTAGTTTTGTTGACATTTGGTAAGTTTACAGAAAAATGTTCTGTTTCCATCAGGCCTGTCATGACATTTTTTTTTATCCAAAATGTACTTTACTTGCATAAAAAGGTTGGATGGAAACCTGGTTCGAGTTGCGTTTCCTAGAAACGGCAGAAGTTGTCCGATTTGCTGTTGGTGCATGTACTTCCCCAGACTTTACTTGTCCACTTCTGTCTACAGTCGGATTACCACTCAAACACGCCCAATGAGAGAAGTGAAATATTCTTCCGAAATCTAGGCACAACCTAGATTCGAACCAATGTCTTAAGTATTGTTATTACTGCAACCTTGTTTAAGTGACAAACTGACACGTTTTCATTTTCGTCAAAAACAAATGTATATGGAAGGAGTGCCTTTTGATTTGAAGGCCAGTGGTGTAATGTACTTAAGTAAAAGTACTTTGCAGTACTACTTAAGTAGTTTTTTGGGGTATCTGTACTTTACTATTTATATGTTTGACTACTTTTAATTTTACTTCACTACATTCCTAAAGAAAATAATGTACTTTTTACTCCATACATTTTCCCTGACACATTTTGAATGCTTAACAGGACAGGAAAATTGTCAAATTCATGCACATATCAAGAGAACATCCCTGCACATCCCTACTGCCTCTGATTTGGTGGACTCACTAAACACAAATGCTTCATTTGTAAATTATGTCTGAGTGTTGGAGTGTGCCCCTGACTATCAGTAAATTTTAAAAAATCAAGAAAATTGTGCCTTCTAGTTTCCCTAATATAAGGAATTTGAAATGATTTATACTTTTACTTTTGATACTTTAGTACATTTAAAATCAAATACTTTTACTCAAGTTGTATTTTACTGGGTGACTTTCACTTTTACTTGAGTCATTTTCTGTTAAGGTCTCTTTACTTTTACTCAAGTATGACAATTGGATACTGTTCCCACCACTGTTGAAGGCATGCACACGCGCAGCGAGACGACCGAAAGGCACTGCATGGTCAATCTTTATTCTGCATTGGCCTTGCAGCATTTATGGTGATATGGCCTCTGCAGAAGTCAGGGCATTAATACTTATTGCGCTTGGCGCAGAGCTGTTGTGAAGGAAGTTATCAAGGAAGTGAGTTTGTGTTTATAAAGGACTTCCCGCCCCCACCTACCGTCAACTAATCATGTCAATGCGGAGCTATATGGAGCCCTCCGCATTGTTACAACATTTGGGAGACGCACAGCGATGCGGTACCAAGTTCAATGAGGCCTCTGCATGCCTTCGGAGGCTCCGCAATTGCGTCACACCCTCCATATGGAGCCTCCGACCACATTTTAGGATCAAGCATAAATTGGCTTTTAGACCGATTAAGTGTTTCTACGCATGAGTTTAGCTACTAAAACACGTGTTTTAAAACAACTTCGTAAGCACTAAAAGTAGGCTACTTTTCAAAATCTATGTGAGAATTGTGCTCATTTTACATGTAAGCATCAGTTGTCAGAGCACCTTACCGATCACTGCACCTGTACACAGCCCATCTGAAATTAGCCCACCCAACTACCTCATCCCTATATTGTTATTTATTTTGCTCTTTTGCACCCCAGTATCTCTATTTGCACATAATCTCTTGCACATCTAGCATTCCAGTATTAATACTAATTGTAATTATTTTGCACTATAGCCTATTTATTGCCTTACCTACATTTGCACACACTGTATATATATTTTCTGTTGTATTTTTTTACTTTGTTTTTTTTACCCCATATGTAACTCTGTGTTGTTGTTTTTATCGCACTGCTTTGCTTTATCTTGGCCAGGTCGCAGTTGTAAATGAGAACTTGTTCTCAACTGGCTTACCTGGTTAAATAAAGGTGAAATAAATAAAATAAAAAGCTACAGAAAGTAGGCTTTGACTACATTAATATCAAAGATAGTACAGTATAAAGATAGGCTAAAACTGCTTCTCCAATAGAAATACCAGATCACACTTGTAGGCGATGTTATGGCGACGTTGGCTAGCTCATTCACACTGACAAGTTAAGAGCTCATTCCGGAAATGGTAGGCCAAATCGTGATGTCAGGACATTAAAAAAGGCTAATGCATTAAACGCACATAGCCTAATTAAACCAAGCTCCCAAACAATACATCAAAAGTAATTAAAGAACCAAACTACCTGCAAGTAAACTGGCAATATACTGTTCTAGGCTAACTGACTAAAGATCACTTTTGTACAAAATGAGAGGTGCGTTTAAAGTTACTGTACCTGTTGAACCCCAGTGGTGGAACCAGCGGCTTCATTCTGCGGAGCCTGTGCTCGCGCTTGGGGATGCTTCCCTGTTTAGTAGCGGAGCCAGATTAATATGTAACTGCCTGACTCTCTACTGCAGTGTGATTGGACAAAGCAAATTAGGTAGCTAAAACCCTTTCTATATCGATATGAGGAAAACGTTTGACGTTGATCATAGGCCATGATAGGATAATTATCGCTTATAAAAAGTTTTAAAAAATAAAGGCTTCAACAAAGTGTCCACCTATCTAAACGAGTACACTTCGTTTTGTCAGCAGCCTCACTGCAGAGCTATGGGAACATTATACTAATGTTCTGTAGACCTATAGTGGACTGATTGAGACCTTATCCCTTTTTATGACCAGGCTACTGATGATCAGATGTTAATGTGTTTATGATTATGTGTAATGATTAAGATCATGTTTTATCATGTGCAAGTTCCTTGGTGAGCTTCAAGTTCCTTGGTGTCCACATCACCAACAAACTATCATGGTCCAAACACACCAAGACAGTTGTGAAGAGGGCACGACAATGCCTATTCCCTCTCAGGAGACTGAAAAGATTTGGCATGGGTCCTCAGATCCTCAAAAAGTTATACAGCTGCACTATCGAGAGCATCCTGACTGGTTGCATCACACCCTGGTATGGCAACTGCTCGGCCTCCGACCGTAAGGCACTACAGAGGGTAGTGCGTACGGCCCAGTACATCACTGGGGCCAAGCTTCCTGCCATCCAGGACCTCTATACAGGCGGTGTCAGAGGAAGGCCCTAAAAATGGTCAAAGACTCCAGCCACCTTAGTCATAGACTGTTCTTTCTGCTACCGCACGGCAAGCGGTACCGGAGCGCCAAGTCTAGGTCCAAAAGGCTTCTCAACAGCTTCTACCCCCAAGCCATAAGACTCCTGAACAGCTAATCATGGCTACCCAGACTATTTGCACTGCCCCCCCACTCTTCCCCATCCCCCTCTTTTACGCTGCTGCTACATATAGCTGTTTATTATTTATGCATAGTCACTTTAACTCTACCCACATGTACATATTACCTCAACTACCTCGACTAGCCGGTGCCCCCGCACATTGACTCTGTACCGGTACCCCCCTGTATATAGCCTCCCTACCGTTATTTTGTTTTACTGCTGCTCTTTAGTTATTTGCTTTTATTTATTTTACTTAACACTTTTTTCTTGTAAGTAAGCATTTCACTGTAATGTCTACACTTGTTGTATTCGGCGCATGTGGCAAATACATTTTGATTTGATAAGGTCATGTCAGAGGCATGTACACAGAATTGGCAGGGCATAGAGGATTCTAATGTCTATTGACAGGGTGCATTTTAACGGAGGTTTACTCTTCTTTTCTCCTTTCCTTTATCTGCACTGATGTGTAAGGACTGGACAGGTGACATTTCCAGTGGGAATCCACCATATTGTTTTCACCTATTCTTTCCTGTGACTAAGGTAAATGAAGGAGATGAGGCCACTAGACCAGACTATTGTGATGCACCCCTGGACTGCATGGAAACAGTGCCACTGTGTGGCTAACAGTGAATAGTGCACAGGTTGGGCCCCTGGAATGAGCCCCACATCACTCACATAGGAGGGAGGGTATATTACTGGTCACTTTCAAAGTTTACCAGTAAACTACCAGAATTTTGGTAATTTTCATGGATTTTATGTAATTTATCACAAGTGGCCCTTTTGGGTACTTCAGATTATCTCAGTTGTCTGTAATTATCTCTGGCCTTCTTACATGTAAAATATATCAAATAAGATGACTTTTTTTTTTTTTTCACACTTTTATTTATTTTACTATGTCAATATGTCTTTAATGTTTTGGCGCCAAAACAGAGTTAATTGAAAATAATGGCATTGTTGATTAATGCTTTTTTCATTAATTAGGCTATTTTCTCTTTAATCATATGGTCTATCCACTAGCCCTCAAGGACAATATGGACAGATAAAACATTTATACTATATATGAATACATTTAAAAGTTATTCAAGTATAAATGACCAAAGTTACCATAGATTGCCATAGATGTCATGGTAATTACCAAAATTATAGAATTTTCCGGTAACTTTGTTAAAATACCGGTAGCTGTGCAACCCTACTCACAGATGAAACACAGAGCTTGACATCAGAAAACAACTAATTAAATCCGTATAAAAAGTAGGTTGCCTTTATTAGAAGCTGGGAAACCAAAATGTCATCAACATCATTGTTGTCGTTAATACTTTTTAAGACCACAATATTGCCCTCATCATCATTACCTTCATCGTCGCTACTCACTTTTCCACAACATGCAAAATATTCAACAGTTCAGCGTTCCCATTCCACAACACTGACAAAAGCTTCTCGGCGCAATCACCTGTAAGAATCACAATTTTGCTTACATTTACATTGCCAGTACAATTTAAGATACATAGAAAAAACAAATGAAAAGCAATATAAACGCAGGGATACTGAAGAAATGATGGAAATAAATAGTTAATCCATTGTTTATCATGGTCATGTGTTCATGTTAAACAGGGCCTGGAGGTACACAGCACTACTGGTTTCAATCCTCCCCCTCCAATAAGGGACTGATTCAGACCTGGGACACCAGTGACATGAATCATTCAGTTAACTATCAGAAAAGAAGCCTAGCAGTACGGACCTCATAGCCCTGTTGGGGAGCTCTCTGTGGGAGCCCCTACTGCCTGGACACAGAAACCCCATACAGTACAAGCTTTCAGTGACATTCAGGAACATGATACAAGCCCTATACGAAGATGACCAATCCAAATTAACTGCTAACCCTAACACTAAGGCCCATGTGTAGCCAAGGCTTGAATAGGTATAAGCAATTTACTTTTGTCATTAAAATTTGCTAATACCTATCTAAGATCTACAGAAGTGCTTGGAATATAGGGGCCAGTTTGGAATTAGGCATATAAACACTTGTCCACTGCCATCAGGAGGGTACCAGGGAAAGTGCACCAGAACCAAGGTTCGGTTTGGGTCTGCTGAAACAGCTTCTAGGGCACATATATGCAGTCTTGGGATCTTGAGCGATTTGGTATTGGTCAGAACATCATTGGGTCTGACTGATAGGCCAATATATATATACATACATACAGTGGTCCCTTGGTATAATGACAGCTTTGATCTGTCAGCTAGTCTTCTATTTCATTATTTTCTTTGATGACAGACACCCCCTCCACGTCCTCCTCTTATACTATGTCAGATCTATGGCTTCAGTTGGTCAGCATCCGAGGCAGAGCACTCATTTGCTGAATTCCAAAGCGACCACTAGCCCCAACGCCCTAGGCACTCCTGTAGGCTGGGTGGAATCATTTCTGATCTACAAGTTTAGTATTCACCCTAAAATCCCCTCCAGTCCCCATGTATCACACCATACCAAGTGCTCCTCTAGTTCAGTAGTACCAAGGGAAAATAAGGCAATAAGAAACCGACTCAATCTTTAAGCGCCCAAACTCGTTTGAATAACTAGTAGCTTTAATTCTCAGCGAAAACAATAATGAACCCATATAGACCAAGAATGCATTACGATACCATAGGTTTGGCTCAAAAATGTTTTTCAACCCAGGGAGGAGCAACACCAAAACATTCTCTTGCACTCATTTCATGCCTTCTCTCTCACTTCTGCCCTTGTATTCTCCTATTTGCAGATCTGAAACAACCGGGAAGGCATAAGCAGTGGTTTGACCTAGATTCCTTCATATAGAGTACCACAGTATGAGTCATAATACCCATAAAACCTAGCGGTCAAACAAGGAAATGGTTCCAATCGTTTTCCCACCATTCATTTTTCCCATAGGGGATTTTAGAAACACTTAAAATAAGGTCTGTTTCGTGTAGGCTTACCCTGGCGTGACGTTTTGATAGCCGTGTAAATCTCTCTAGGACAAGATAACTTATCACTATATTGGCCTATATTTACCCTCCAAAAATTAAACGCTAATTAGCTGCTAATGTGGCTATCATTAAGAACTACAAATACCATGATGATCTGGATGAGACTGCTGAATCGAGGTAAAGGTAAGAATCTCTGGGTTAACTAATTTTAGCTAAGTTTAGGCATTAATAAATTGGCTACATTTCTTTAAATGGACAATTCTGTGAACTGTCTTGCGCAAGTTTTAAATTGACACAATACCCGTTAGCAAAGATGTCAGCTAGAGATGACATGCAGGAGCTTGCAGGGATTTGTAGTCTTGCATGTCTACTTTGACACTAATTAGCATTTTTCAATCAGTAAATAGAGCCGAATATATTGATTTAAAAAATCATCTTGTCTGAGAGATATTTACACGGTTATCAAAACATCTCGCCAGGGTAAGCCTACACGAAACACTGCCCTTATTTTAAGTGTTTCTAAAATTCCATAAGGGAAAAATTTATGGTGAAAAAACAATTGGAACCATTTCCCTGTTTGACCGGTAGGTTTTATGGGTATTATGACACCTCCACTGTGGGGCTCTATTGCTGTCACTTATCCAGTCCTATCAGATCTGTGAAGGGCAGAGTAGGGGAAATGCAGCTAGTGTTTCTTGGATGTAGAGGAGAGGTATGGAGTGAAACATTAGCCAGCATCACTGTTGACTACATCAACACCCTGACTACTTCTGTCTGAGGGGAATGAGCCATGTGTGTGTGAGAGAGAGGGAAGGAGTGAGTATGAGCTGAGTGCAGGAGAGGGAGAGCACGTGAGATGAGTGATAGAATGAGAGAAAAGGAGGAGAGTGGAACAGAAAGGAGGGATTGCTGGGTCTGCTCTCCCAGTCTTCCTAAACCCAGCAGAAAAACAGATGGATTGGGTCAACTTTTCTCTTTAAAATCAAGATACATTTTATTAATTTTCTTAAAAAACAAACATTACAAAAAATCTGAATAGAGAATTAAAACAAACCAACAAAAAAAACATTCATTTTAGGGCCTCTCAAAAAAACAACTCTCGATTCAATTTAAAAAAAGCTTGTGGATGCCTGGCACAAAGGGTTGAACAATGAAAGGATGCTCTGGCCATACCAGGGTAGTGTGTGTGTCTGCTGGCATGTGTGTACGGTGTATGCATGTGTCATGCCTAGCACAGAGGCATCCAAAATCTCTGAACCACAAACCAAATGGTAGAGGGTCTAGGGTGAGGAAACACCAAATCCCCTGAGTGTGTGCTCCATCACACCCGCACAATGGTAGTACCAGCACAGCAAACAAACAGGCTCTCTTAGGGCTGATCTAGAACCTGCTTCCATGACCCCCTCGCTCACCACACAAATAACCGTTTACAGCACATCGCAGACGCTCAGAGTAATCTCTCGGTCTAAAGCACAATAACACACTGCTACTCCAAAGTGATCTTCAACTCTGTTCCTTGTACTATGAATGTACTGTTATATTGAATATCATGAAAAAATGTGTTGGACGTGTGCTGATTGCTATTTGTCCAATGCCGATTATTCTGCCTATTTGCTTTATAATACAATAAAAACAATTGATCTCAAAGCACATGACTGAACAGTTACACAAAGCTTGTTTTGTTATTGAATATGTATGTGTTAAACTGAAGGTCCTTGACACAGGGCCAGAGCGTAACCTCAGAGTAGGGGGAAATAGAACAGCATTAATTCAACCAAGTTAACATTAAAATAACAACCGTAAAACCTTCCTTAAAACGTGTTGTGTTTGAGTTTAAAAAGCACTGTCAGTGTTGGCACAGCGCTATGGGGTTAGTGGGCACAGGAACTGAGGGAGAACAATCTAGATACAACAGGGAAATAGACAGACAGGAAACACGCTGACATATCCTCCCTCAAAGAGTCTCCAGTGTGGCCTTCTCTGATTAGTCAGCGTTGGGCTGTAACTAAACCAATGGGTAGTGTGGCACAGTGAATAAAAAAGTGCTTTGATTGGACAACAGCAGTCCACTGAGAAACCAGGATAGAGATAGAAACCCAGACTGGCTGAACAAACCCAGGGCTCAGTAATCACTGATCTAACTCTCCTGGATAGGTCAAGCAAGGGTTATTCTACATAGCTTTCACCTATTCAGTCATGTCAGACCAGAGATTACTTGGGGAGGAGAGGGGAATGGAGAACTCAGCAGAGAAAGAAGATGGCTAGAATTTATTTTTTTATAGAAGGCTCACTTGCACACACACACACACACATCAGCCTGCAGAAAGAAAACTAGTGACTCTACACTCCAAGCGACTGTTGAGGACGGATGTCCACTAGCACGGAGCTCTCAGAAAAAGGCAAACTAACAAAGCCTAAAGAAACCGTTTTTTGAGATTCACACAGACTTGTGTAGGAAAGACTAATGCAGTCACTGCAGAGAGGGAGATGAGAAAGGAGAGGAGAGGTGTGCCAGTGGAGGGAGGTGTAGCTGAGCAGAGGGGACAGGGATGGAGGGATGGGACATGTTCAGAGAGATGGAGTAAAATCTCACTTGTTCTTTCCTTCCATCCCTCACAGCCATATGGTATGCATGATCTCATGCACACAGATACCATGTCCTCAGTCAGTCAGTCAGTCAGTCAGTCATTACGGGAAGCCAGACACTAAACAACTAACACTAAACAACAAATGAGGTTCAAACCATTGAGCCAGGCCACCAATGAAACCAAAATAAACTCTAAACCAAGAGAAACAAAAACTTGAGAAGGTAAAGAGAGAGAGGGAAGGGGAGGGGGGAGAGAGAGAGAGGTGGGACTTCTGTGGGTCTAGTCTTCCCCAGAGGGCACGTCCTCTTCCGATCCGTCCTCCTCTTCCTCCTCCTCCTCATCTTCCTTTTCCTTCTTCTCCTTCCCGGGTGCCTCCTTCGTTTTCTTGGGTGCGGGGGAGGAGTCTTTCTTCACCACCTCCTCCTCTTCCTCCTCCAAAGGGCTCTCTGGCTCCTCCTCTTCCTCCTCCTCTTTGGGCGAGCTCTTCTCCAGGGCCTTGGCAGCACTGGGGCGACCTTTACCCTTTCCTTTCATTGGGCTGGGGGTCACTGGGGGAGGAGAAGCACACACAAAGTTATGGATACACATTCATTCAATGACGTTATGAGGCTGGGAAGATACTTACACATTATCTGAAAAAAACATTTAACAACCGATGCTTGCAGTTCTGAAGGATATGGGTGATTGATTCATGGTGAGCGGTCCTACCAGTGGCCTTTAGTCGTGGTTTGGGGGATTTCTTTTCCTTCCTTTCCGGCCGGCTCCGTTTGATCACCTTCTTGCTGCTCCTCTTGCTCTTGGAGCGGCCATAGTCACTATCATCATCATCCTCAACCATGAAGTCTTCATCACTGCCCGACTCATCAGCTAGAGAGAGGAGGACGAGGTGGTGATTATTGGTAATTTCACCTGAAAAATACACTACATGGCCAAAAGAATGTGGTCACCTGCTCGTCAAACATCTCATTCCAAAATCATTGGCATTAATATGTAGTTGGTCCCCCCTTTGCTGCTACAACAGCCTCCAGTCTTCTGGGAAGGCTTTCCACTAGATGTTTGAACATTGCTGCGGGGACTTGCTTCCATTCAGTCAAAAGAGCATTAGTGAGGTCGGGCACTGATGTTGGGCGATTAGGCCTGGCTCGCAGTCTGCATTCCAATTTATCCCAAAGGTGTTCGATGGGGTTGAGGTCAGGACTCTGTGCAAGCCAGTCAAGTTCTTCCACACCGATCTCGACAAACCATTTCTATATGGACCTCGCTTTGTGCACGGGGGCATTGTCATGCTGAAACAGGAAAGGGTCTTCCCCAAACTGTTGACACAAAGCTGGAAGCACAGAATCGTCTAGAATGTAATTGCATGCTGTAGCATTAACATTTCCTTCACTGGAACTAAAGGGCCTAGCCCGAACCATGAAAAACAGCCCCAGACCATTATTCCACCTGCACCAAACTTTACAGTTGGCACTATGCATTGGGGCAGGTAGCGTTCTCCTGGCATCCGCCAAACACAGATTTGTTCGTCGGACTGCCAGATGGTGAAGCGTGATTCATCACTCCAGAGAATGCGTTTACACAGCTCCAGAGTCCAATGGCGGCGAGCTTTACACCACTTCAGCCGACGCTTGGCATTGCGCATGGTGATCTTAGGCTTGTGTGCGGCTCCTCGGCCATGGAAACCCATTTCATGAAGCTCCAGAAGAACAGTTTTTGTGCTGACGTTGCTTCCAGAGGCAGTTTAGAACTCAGCAGTGAGTGTTGAAACAGAGGACAGACGATTTTTACGCGCTACAGCACTCAGTGATCCCGTTCTGTGAGCTTGTGTGGTCTATCACTTTGCAGCTGAGCAGTTGTTGCTCCTAGACGTTTCAACTTCACAATAACAGCACTTACAGTTGACCTGGGCAGCTCTAGCAGGGCAGAAATGTGACAAACTGACTATGACGGTGCCACGTAGAAAGTCACTGAGCTCTTCAGTACGGGCCATTCTACTGCCAATGTTTGTCTATGGAGATTGCATGGCTGTGTGCTCAATTTTATACACCAATTTTAACACTCCCCCGTATAGAAGACTCCTTCGTAGGGCTGGGCGGTATAACTTATTTTACGATATACCGGTATTGATGCACGGACATGTTTGGGTTTTTACTTTACCTTCTATAACGGTATTTTAATGTTTGGTTTGATAAAATGGAATATGCCTTGTGTACGTCCACTTTTATAATTTACTTATCTAATTGAGTCATCGCTCTCCATGCCGCTTTCCACACAGACCTAGCCACGCCCCGTCACTCAAGGAGCACATTTGTTGTTCCTCGACCATGAGACACTTGCGTTCAGTCTGCATGGTCATTGCAGCACATGCAACAATGTTGATGACAACGATGCTGTTTTCACTTTGCTTCTTAATATAAATCCACAAGCTTTCTACAATTACATTATTCGTTTGAGTTTCTACATCTGCAAACAGCTAGTTTGTATTTTCTTAGCAAGTTGGGCCTAAATCTTATTGGCCGCTAATGCTAATCGCTAGTTAGCTGGCTAGCTAGCAAATAAATGTACTGAGTCAGCGCAAACGTAATTAGCTACAGTGCATTCGGAAAGTATTTAGACTTCTTCACTTTTTCCACTTTGTCACGTTAGCCTTATTCTAAAATGGATTACATTTATTTTTTTCCTCATCTACACACAATACCCCATAATGACAAAGCGAAAACAGGTTTAGAAATGTTTGCAAATTTACATAAGTATTCAGACCCTTTGCTATGAGACTCGAAGTTGAGCTCAGGTGCATCCTGTTTCCATTGATCATCCTTGAGATGTTTCTACAACTTGGAGTCCACCTGTGGTAAATTCATTTGATTGGACATTATTTGGAAAGGCACACACCTGTCTATATAAAGGTCCCACAGTTGACAGTGCATGTCAGAGCAAAAACCAAGTCATGAGGTTGAAGGAATTGTCCGTAGAGCTCCGAGACAGGATTATGTCGAGGCACCGATCTGGGGAAGGTTACCAAAAAATGTCTGCAGCATTGAAGGTCCCTAAGAACACAGCGGCCTCCATCATTCTTAAATGGAAGAAGTTTGGAACCACCAAGCCTCTTCCTAGAGCTGGCCGCCCGGCCAAACCCGATGGTCACTCTGACAGAGCTCCAGAGTTCCTCTGTGGAGATGGGAGAACCTTCCAGAAAGACAACCATCTCTGCAGCACTCCACCAATCAGGCTTTTATGGTCAATACCATCCCTACGGTGAAGCATGGTGGTGACAGCATCATGCAGTGGGGATGTTTTTCAGCGGCAGGGACTAGGAGACTAGTCAGGATCGAGGGAAAGATGAACAGAGCAAAGTAGAGAGAGATCCTTGATGAAAACCTGCTCCAGAGCGCTTAGGACCTCAGACTGGGGCGAAGGCTCACCTTCCAACAGGACAACGACTCTAAGCACACAGCCAAGACAACGCAGGAGTGGCTTCGGGACAAGATTCTGAATGTCCTTGATTGGCCCAGCCAGAGCCCGGACTTGAAACCGATTGAACATCTCTGGAGAAACCTGAAAATTGATGTGCAGCGACGCTCCCCATCCAACCTGACAGAGCTTAAGAGGATCTGCGGAGAAGAATGGGAGAAACTCCCCAAATGCAGGTGTGCCAAGCTTATAGCGTCATACCAAAGAAGACTCAAGGCTGTAATCGCTGCCAAAGGTGCTTCAACAAAGTACTGAGTAAAGGGTCTGAATACTTAGGTACATGGATTTCAGGTTTCTGCAAAAGTTTCTAAAAATCTGTTTTTGCTTTGTCATTATGGGGTATTGTGTGTAGATTGATGGGGGGGGGGGGGGGAAACAATCTAATCCATTTTAGAATAAGGCTGTAACGTAACAAAATGTGGAAAAAGTGAAGGGGTCTGAATACTTTCTGAATGCACTGTAGCTAATTACGTTTGCGCTGACTCAGTACATTTATTTATACATGTACAGCATAATAATACCAGTGATGGTGTAGACCTAAATTAGCATGTTGTTCTTCTAAATATATCTTCTAAATCAAAGAGGAATACGCGACGCATTAATATGTTAGCTACATGAAGTCGCTAAGAGAAAACATTCAATGTAGCCAAAGAATATAGGGTCCGCTAGGAAACCCTTGTCAACACTCCTACCCTGTCACAATAACTTATCCCTGGCATTTGTATTAGTTTTCATGTCCAACACTGTATTGAAAGTGCCCAATATTATATTCTACCTATAGAATTAGAATAATAATTATATTTGCATGATTCCAACAGTTCACCCAAGTGTTTTGCTCTAAATCGCAAGTAAAATAACAATTGCAATATTTGGTTCAAAATAAGGCCTAGGTTGTTTGCCCATATCGTACAACCCTACGTGGCAGTGTGGTAATGATCTCAAATTAGTGCAGGAAATGCAGAAATAGATAGGTCAAATTGAACAGTATAAAACAATCAGAATGGAGAAAGACCCATTCAAATTACTTAGAATGTATATGTTGCCACCCTAGGGTCACGCACTACTCATAAAGCAAATTTAGAACTTTTATTATTCAAAAACATAAATTTCCGTCAAATTCTTTTAAAATACAGTGATATGATATTTTGGCCATATCGCCCAGCCCGATGCCTTCGTTCAATGACTTGTGTGTAATGTAATGGAACAGAGTCATGATCAAGGGCTTGGTCCGGGTAGGCCTGTTTTGAGTGGTTGACTTACGGTCTGCGAAGGCCTCCTCCTTGTCTTCGCGTTCCTCGTCCTCGCTGCCTCCGTCTCCCAGCAAGATCTCTCTCTGTTTGGACACAGCCTTGGTGGCAGCCTGCCGCACCGTACGCACCTTACGACTCACCTCCTCATCACTGTCATCTACACACAGAAAGATGTAGCCAGGTTATAACACACACAGTCATATTATAACTGGCGCACACACAGACACCTCAGTGTATGATTCTTACCTGCGGGTCGTTTTCTCTTGGGTGTCCTCTTAGTGGGCTTTGCCACCTTGGCTGTCTTTCCCTTTTTCCCTCGTTTAGCTTCGTAGTCACTCCCTCCATCCTCATCATCCTCCTCTCCAAAGTCGTTGTCTTCATCACTGCCAAAGTCATCTGCATCCCAACACAAAAACATTTACCACTAGCCCAGTCCCAAAACAACTCCTGGCCACTAGCCCTAGTTCCCTTCTCATAGCCCTAGTCCCCTTCCCCCCTTCGCAGTGTTTTCCATTAGCGCCGGGTCGGCTAATCAGCCGGTCACAGATTCATTTCTACTTTTTTGATTTCATATTAACTAGGCTACTTTCCATTTAAAAGTTTCAATTCACTAGTCTGTCGAGCACGCTCCCGCTAGAGTGAACGATATGCATCTTCTAGCTATCTATTGATAAGATAGGTGCCTGTCAGTCACAAAGAGAGCGATGACAGCGAAACGCAGTCTGCTGTCTGTCCCGCCTCCCGGTACAATTTGAGTGCGCTGTGGCTGGTTGCAGTCAAATTTCTTTACGCGGAGGAGGGAGAGCGCATGATGCTTGTGAATTTGCACATCCCATGTAAGTGGTAATGATGAGTCAAAATCCACTTAGCTTAATTATTAATTAAATGTTTGCAGCCTTTCGTCAAAAATGGACTACAACTAGATCTGGGCTTCCCAGGCAGATCCAGATATTTTTATTTGATCAGAAACATGGTTATCTGAGAAAATGGTGGATGCTGAGGTTACTATTGATGGTTTTAGAGTATTCAGGGCTGATAGAACGGGCAAAGGTGGTGGTGTTGCTATCTATACAAAAAGTCACCTTTCTGTGTCTCTTCAAGGCTACTTCCAGTCCTAAACAATTTGAATTTCTAGCTTTAAGTCTTCAACTAGGTTCTAATTCTCAAGTAACTGTTCGGGAGTCTACCACCCTAAGAAATGTTTGTTAACTAGTCCCACTGACTTAATAGCTTATTTTTCTACTTCTGAGATGTTGGTCGCAGGTGACTTGAACCTGTCCTGAGGAACCCAAGACTCAGACCGGTTAAAGGATTTTTGTAATAACTATCTTGAGTTCATACGCAATAGAGATGTTGCCTGGGCCATGGCTAGAAGTACTGACTCCAGCCGGGACTGGCAATCCTTCAGAGAATTGAGAAATCTGTGTAAAAGACACTCACTGACTGTACTGGAAATCCCTATAAATTCTGGAAAACTGTGAAATAATTAAAAAGGGTTGTACTTCCTCTACTCTTCCCTTACAAATGAATGTAGTCTGGCCCTATTACTGATAATTTAATAATTTAAATTAACATTTTATTTCTGCAGGCTCTCTGATACAATTCAAAAGCCTACTCACTGTGACAATGTACTGGATGTTAATGGGGGAATTTTACTGAATAATTTAGAAAATGTCAGTCAGGGTTTTCCCTTTTGGCAATTCACAGAAAATGTGTTGTTGACATTACGATATCTACATGGGCCGACCACTTGGATCCAGGTCATTGTTGGTTTAATAACCCACATCTTTAATTTAAACACTTATCAAGAAATATTCCTAAAGTGTGGAAACAAGCTTATGCGCTGCCACTACATAAGGGAGGTGATTGTTGTGATCTTGACCACTATTGTCCCATATTAAGGGTTCCTTGTTTAGCTAAGATTCTTCAATCATTGGTGAATGTGCAACTTCGTTCTTTTTTAAATATTTTTTAAATCTGTGAACTGTATTATGAATGTACATCAATCAGGGTTTAGACCAGGGTACAGTACTATTACTGCAACCACATCTGTTGTAAATTATATTGTCAATGCTTTGGATGCTAAGATGAATTGTGCTGCCCTATTTATAGGATTTGTCAAAAGCTTTTGATACAGTTGATCATTCTATCATATTGAGTAAGTTGTCCGTGTTAGGCCTTGGCACTGATGCCTGTTTGTGGTTTCAGAATTATCTTAGTGACAGAACCAAGGCTTTTATGATAGACAGGGTTAAATCCACATTTCTTAAAGTGCTTAATGGGGTACCCCAGGGTTCGATTTTGGGGCCATTGTTGTTCACGTTGTATATAAATGACATTGGAAATACTGTTAACACCTGTAACATTCATCTCTACACAGATTACAGTTATTTATTCCTGTGCCTCTTCAGTGCAGCAGGCCATTAGTGACCTTCAGCATGACTTAATCCAACAATCACTTCCTGATATTAACTTAGTGTTAAATGCAAATACCGTTCTCTAGGTCTCGTAACGTTGACTGAGGACATGCGTACTTGCACTCCAAATGAAGCCCAAATTGAGCATGTTTCTCACTAGGAGTACTTAGGTATCTGGATTGATGACAAGTTGTCTTTTGAAACACACATTGAAAATGACAAAGCTGAGATCTATGATCTATTTTACATTTTTTATATAGAAATAAATCCTGCCTCAGTTCTGACACAAATAGGAAGATTGTTCAAACAAGGCTTCTCCCTGTAATAGACTATGCTGACATTATTTATATGCATGTGGCAGCCTCTGTTTTGAAACCATTGGACTCAGTATTCCATTCAGCAACTCGTTTTATCACTCGGGACGTCTTTAGGACTCATCATTGTGTTCTGTACAAAAATGTGGCATGGACCTCTCTGTCTGTAAGAAGAGAGCTGCACTCTTATTTACAAAGCCGTCTTGCATAAACTTTTCTGTACATAACTTCATTGATTAAATTCAGACATACAAATTACCAAACCCGTTCTCAGGGATGGATAACTCTGGAGATCCCTTTGGTCTCCATAGGATTGGGAAAATCTGCTTTTTAGGTGTGGAACAATATGCAGAAATCCTTGCAGTTAGATATTCTGGTGCCTTTCAGGCATTTACAATGATTGATTGGAGACTTATGTTACAGAATGGGATTGCTTTTCTTAAATATGTTTAATGTGTATTTTATTGTGTTTTATTTGTAATGTCTTTGTAGGGCTGTTGCATTTTATTTAGTGTTTTATTTTATATACATTGAAAAACACTAAAACGCAACAATTTCAGAGATTTACAGTTCATAAGGAAATTAGTCAATTGAAATGAATTAATTATGCCCTAACCTATGGATTTCACATGACTGAGAATTTTTTTTTAAAGGTAGGGGCGGGGATCAGTCTGTATCTGGTGTGACCACCATTTGCCTCACGCAGCGCAACATCTCCTTCGCATAGTTTATTAAGCCGTTGATTGTGGCCGTTTATTGTGGCCTCTGGAATGTTGTCCCATTCCTCTTCAATGGGTGTGCAAAGTTGCTAGATATTGGAGGGCACTCGAACACGCTGTGGTACACGTCGATCCAGAGCATCCAAAACATGCCCAATGGGTGACATGTCCGGTGAGTATGCAGGACATGGAAGAACTGGGACATTTTCAGCTTCCAGGAATTGTGTACAGATCCTTACGACATGGGGCCGTGCATGATCATGCTGAAACATGTGATGGCAGCGAATTAATGGCACCACAATGGGCCTCAGAATCTTGTCAAGGTCTCTCTGTGCATTCACATTGCCATCGATAAAATGCAATTGTGTTTGTTGTCCGTAGTATATACAGTGGGGGAAAAAAGTATTTAGTCAGCCACCAATTGTGCAAGTTCTCCCACTTAAAAAGATGAGAGGCCTGTAATTTTCATCATAGGTACACGTCAACTATGACAGACAAAATGAGGAAAAGAAATCCAGAAAATCACATTGTAGGATTTTTAATGAATTTATTTGCAAATTATGGTGGAAAATAAGTATTTGGTCAATAACAAAAGTTTCTCAATACTTTGTTATATACCCTTTGTTGGCAATGACACAGGTCAAACGTTTTCTGTAAGTCTTCACAAGGTTTTCACACACTGTTGCTGGTATTTTGGCCCATTCCTCCATGCAGATCTCCTCTAGAGCAGTGATGTTTTGGGGCTGTCGCTGGGCAACACGGACTTTCAACTCCCTCCAAAGATTTTCCATGGGGTTGAGATCTGGAGACTGGCTAGGCCACTCCAGGACCTTGAAATGCTTCTTACGAAGCCACTCCTTCGTTGCCCGGGCGGTGTGTTTGGGATCATTGTCATGCTGAAAGACCCAGCCACGTTTCATCTTCAATGCCCTTGCTGATGGAAGGAGGTTTTCACTCAAAATCTCACGATACATGGCCCCATTCATTCTTTCCTTTACACGGATCAGTCGTCCTGGTCCCTTTGCAGAAAAACAGCCCCAAAGCATGATGTTTCCACCCCCATGCTTCACAGTAGGTATGGTGTTCTTTGGATGCAACTCAGCATTCTTTGTCCTCCAAACACGACGAGTTGAGTTTTTACCAAAAAGTTCTATTTTGGTTTCATCTGACCATATGACATTCTCCCAATCCTCTTCTGGATCATCCAAATGCACTCTAGCATACTTCAGACGGGCCTGGACATGTACTGGCTTAAGCAGGGGGACACGTCTGGCACTGCAGGATTTGAGTCCCTGGCGGCGTAGTGTGTTACTGATGGTAGGCTTTGTTACTTTGGTCCCAGCTCTCTGCAGGTCATTCACTAGGTCCCCCCCGTGTGGTTCTGGGATTTTTGCTCACCGTTCTTGTGATCATTTTGACCCCACGGGGTGAGATCTTGCGTGGAGCCCCAGATCGAGGGAGATTATCAGTGGTCTTGTATGTCTTCCATTTCCTAATAATTGCTCCCACAGTTGATTTCTTCAAACCAAGCTGCTTACCTATTGCAGATTCAGTCTTCCCAGCCTGGTGCAGGTCTACAATTTTGTTTCTTGTGTCCTTTGACAGCTCTTTGGTCTCAAATACTTATTTTCCACCATAATTTGCAAATACATTTATTAAAAATCCTACAATGTGATTTTCTGGATTTTTTTTTCTAATTTCGTCTGTCATAGTTTACGTGTACCCATGATGAAAATTACAGGCCTCTCTCATCTTTTTAAGTGGGAGAACTTGCACAATGGGTGGCTGACTAAATACTTTTTTCCCCCCACTGTATCTGTCTGCCCATACCATAACCACACCGCCACCATGGGGCCGTCTGTTCACAACGTTGACATCAGCAAACCGCTAGCCCACACGACACCATACATGCTGTCTGCCATCTGCCCGGTACAGTTGAAACAGTGATAAATCCCTGAATAGCACATTACTCCAGCGAGCCAGTGGCCATCGAAAGTGAGCATTTGTCCACTGATGTCGGTTACGAAGCCGAACTGCAGTCAGATTAAGACCCTGGTGAGGACAAGCACGCAGATGAGCTTCCCTGAAATGGTTTCTGACAGTTTGTGCAGAAATTCTTCGGTTGTGCCAACCCAGTTTCATCAGCCGTCTGGTCTCAGATGATCCCGCAGGTGATGAAGCCGGATGTGGAGGTCCTGGGCTGGTGTGGACATTCCTGCAGTCAGCATACCAATTGCATTCTCCTTCAAAACATGAGACATCTGTGGCATTGTGTTGTGTGACAAAACTGCACATTTTAGAGTGGCCTTTTATTGTCCCCAGCACAAGGTGCACCTGTGTAATGATCATGCTGTTTAAGCAGCTTCTTGACATGCCACACCTGTCAGGTGGATGGATTATTTTGGCAAAGGAGAAATGCTCTCTAAAAGGGATGTAAACAAATTAGTGATTTTTGTTGTTGCGAAATAAGCTTTTTGTAAATATTTCAGCTCATGAAACATGGGACCAACACTTCACATGGTGCATATATTTTTGTTCAGTATAAATAGTTTTTATGTGACTCCCTGTTTAAATAAAGGTTAATAAAGTAGTGAAAAAAATTATATAGCGATATTGTCAAAACAATACATAGTCAGAAATAATATATTTAACTGTATCGATTTCTCCCCCCCATCACTATCTGGATCCTAACCTCTAACCATAGCCTCCTCTAAAGGACATTTTCCCTAACCCCAAGACCAAGCTTGAACAACATTTCCACTTCTGAAAGGGATCATAGATTTATCATAATTCATAGATCTATCACAAATATAATATTGTTAATCAACCAGTTGATGAATGGAAATGTCAGAATGGCTTACCTGCTGAATCATTTTTGGATTTGGAGAGTTTTTCATCAGAATCCTCACTGAAACAAAAAACAACAATTGAGCAACAAGATACACACCAAGTCTGCTTTTTAATAGAACCACCAAATCTTGAGTTGAACGCCCTCAACTCTTATTTCTAAATCATGCATGATGCCAATGGAAGATGTTCCCTGAAGTTTGAGTCAAGATTCAGCCTTGTGCTGCGGTTCTCTGGGCTCACCTGTCCTCCTGAGAGTTAGGATTCAGCCTTGTGCTGCTGTTCTCTGGGCTCACCTGTCCTCCTGAGAGTTCTTTGATCGCTTGCGCTTCACCTCGCGAGGAGCCGCACGAGGCTTCTTAGGCTTGTCGGAGTTCTTCCCATACTCCTCATCTACAAGGGAAGGAAAAAAGGGGTTAAACACACAGTTTACAGGGGAGAGGGGTTGCAGTTGCACACACAAACTCTCGCTCTCTCACCTGCGTCATCAGACTCCTGGAATTGTGAGTAATTCACCACCTTCTTGTTCCTGTGAAGTAAACACAAACAGAGATTTCCTCTCCTGTTTATAGTCGGTAGGATGAGGACTGTTGTCGTAGGACAAAACATGCAGAAATAATAATCATCGTCATCATCATGACAGCCTTTCACTAACAGTTACATGCTGTCAGGGGGAGTTAACACTTTACCCCCCATCCGTAGCAAACATAGCTGATTAAACGAAAAAATTAAACTGAAGTTCATGATTAGTTCGTTATTGGAGCCAGTTGTGTTAGCTGTGACACCAATCAGCCCCTCCAGGATTGGAGTTGCCCATCCCTGAAATAGGGTACAAGTCAATAGTCTAACGTGGCTTCCTCTCCTTCATCTGCACCGATCAACACAGAGGGTGGATGAAAGCTATTTGGAGGACAGGGCTCTAAGTGCGACCATTTTGGTCACATATTTCTGTGCAAACCTGTAATTTTAATTTGGGAGCACCAGTTATCAGCCAGAGTATAATTGTTTTAATGATTTGGCGTTGCTGTACCGCTTTTTCAGAGTGCGCTATATAAAAATTAAGATTCATGAAAAAGATGCATTACTACACAGAGAACTGCTTGTCTCTAGCCCAAACCGTTCAAAAGTTGTGACCATATTATCTGCGCTACGTTTTGCTGGATGCTTCGCCGTTGGTGGGCCGCATTTTACATTCATAAACCATTTAACTTTTTTTAGTCCTTTAGCAGACGCTCTTATCCAGAGAGACTTACATGAGCAATTATGGTTAAGTGCCTTGCTCAAGGGCACATATTTTTTCCCCACCTAGTCGGCTCGGGATTCGAACCAGCGACATTTTGGTTACTTGTCCGACACTATTAACATCTAGGCTACCTACCACCCAGGTAAACCATGTTGCGGGCCGTTAACACCTTGTTCAGTCATGACGTTACCTCATTAGCTGGCTAACAACCTGGCAACTTTAGCAGTATATCCAAACATTTGGGGGCACAGAAAGAATGTTAAAAGGACAGCTTCTTCAGGAGATCAAATGATCATAGCAATGAATGAATTGCATGTCATCACACCCAAACGTGACATTCTTAAAGAGACAGTGCACAATTTTCAATGCATTTCGATAGGAAACAGGGCAAAATTCTATCCTCCTGATTCCTGCTTAAAAGCAAAAACCAAAGCAGGAAGTACCAGTGACTCGCTCAAAACGAAAGTGGTCAGATGATGCGAATGCTACGCTACAGGACTGTTTTGCTAACAGACTGGAATATGTTTCGGGATTCATCCAATGGCATTGAGGAGTATACCACAGTCACCGGCTTCATCAATAAGTGCATCGACGACGTCATCCCCAAAGTGACCGTACGTACATATCCCAACCAGAAGCCATGGATTACACCGGCTCTGACGCTCATTGGATGTGAACTTGCAAACTATTACGGACTACAAAGGGAAACCCAGCCGCGAGCTGCACAGTGACACGAGTCTACCAGATGGGCTAAATGCCTTTTATGCTCGCTTTGAGGCAAGCAACACTGAAGCATGCATGAGAGCAAGACCTTTAAACCAGTCAATATTCACAAGGCCGCGGTGCCAGACGGATTACCAGGACATGTACTCAGAGCATGCAAAGGACCAACTGGCAAGTGTCTTCACTGACATTTTCAACCTCTCCCTGACCGAGTCTGTAATACCTACATGTTTCAAGCAGACCACAATAGTCCCTGTGCCCAAGAACGAGAAAAGGTAACATGCCTAAATGAATACCACCAACGTCGTTAGCTATGAAGTGCTTTGAAAGGCAGGTCATGACTCCAACACCATCATTAAGTTTGCTGGCAGGTCTGATCACCGGCAACGATGAGACAGCCTATAGGGAGGTGGTCAGAGACCTGGCAGTGTGGTGCCAGGATAACAACCTCTCCCTCAACGTGAGCAAGACAAAGGAAACAAGCCCTTATTCACATCAACAGGGCTGTAGTGGAGCAGGTTGAGAGCTTCGAGTTCCTTGGTGTCCACATCACCAACAAGCTATCATGATCCAAACACACCAAGACAGTCGTGAAGAGGACACGACAACGCCTATTCCCCCTCAGGAGACTGAAAAGATTTGTCATGGGCCCCCAGAAAGTTATACAGCTGCATAATCGACAGCATCCTGACCGGTTGCATCAATGCCTGGTATGGCAACTGCTCGGCTTCCGACCGTAAGGCGCCAACAGAGGGTAGTGTGTGCGGTCCAATACATCACTGGGGCCAAGCTACCTGCCATCCAGGACCTCTATACTAGGCGGTGTCAGAGGAAGGCAAAAAAAAGTGTCAAAGACTCCAGTCCCCCAAGTCATAGACTGTTCTCTCTGCTACTGCACGGCAAGCGGTACTGGAATGCCAAGTCTAGGTCCAAAAGGCTCCTTAACAGCTTCTACCCCCCAAGCCATAAGACTGCTGAACAATTAATAAAATGGCCACCCGGACTATTTACATTAACCCCCCCCTGTTTTTACACTGCTGCTACTCGCTGTTTATTATCTATGCATAGTCACTCTACCCCTACCTACATGTACAAATTACCTCGACTAACCTGTACCCCCGCACATAGCATGTGGTCCTCTGTAGCTCAATTGGTAGAGCATGGCGCTTGTAACGCCAGGGTAGTGGGTTCGATCGCCGGGACCACCCATACGTAAAAATGTATGCACACATGACTGTAAGTCGCTTTGGATAAAAGCGTCTGCTAAATGGCATATTACTATTTACTATTGTCTTAATAATTTTATTGTGTTACTTTTTACTTTATTTAATAAATATTTTCTTAAAACTGCATTCTTGGTTAAGGGCTTGTAAGTAAGCATTTCACGGTATGGTCTACACCGGTTGTATTCGGCGCATGTGACAAATACAACTTTTGTATTAGTAAAGTTGTTTTTGGATTATAAATTGTGCTCAAGGTTTCCAAAAATGTATCACAATCGAGGATTTTAGATCGAACGTTTCACAATTTGATCAATTCCCCTCAGCGAATCAAAAGAAAGATTCAATGACTTCAATGTAATGTAGAGTCAGAAGGGCAAAGATGGACCCAGATTAGACAAACATAACTCTAGGAACCACACCCGGTTCATATAAGATGCCCAACTCTGTACGGTTCTTCTCATCTCATGCAGCCAACGCAATGTATTTCCAATCATTCCAAATCAAGGCGCAACAGGATTTCATCCACTTCAGTTCCCTCTATTCCGCCACACCCCCAAACACACTCAGCCATCAATCATGCATCAGCAGTATGCGTTTTGTTTTTAAAGTTCCCTCACACAGATGGGGCTAGTTTCTCTAGTAAACTGGATGCTCGTGTCTCACTTCTTCAGTTTCAAGGGCTCATTTGGGAAAGTGGATGAGTGGAATGGGTTAAAACACACACTACAGACCAGTGCTGCAGGTGACACACAGCTGACCACAGGCAGGTGCTAAATGTAATACACACCTTCAGAGCTGTGATGTAATACACACACACAGGCATGAGGCATACATAACCTATATACATTTACATTTTAGTCATTTAGCAGACGCTCCTAACCAGAGCGACTTAGTTAGTGAGTGCATACATTTTCATACTGGCCCCCCGTGGGAAACGAACCCACAACCCTGGCGTTGCAAGCGCCATGCTCTACCAACTGAGCTACACGGGCCTACAGTGGTCTTGCTCTCGTATACACACACATCCTTCTATTTTCCCATCCCCCTGACCTCCTAACACACACTAAAGTGATTGGAAACATTGTCTGTAATAGTAATTATAGGCTACCATAGTACCACATATGGTTAATTTAATTTTTTATTTAACCTTTATTTAACCAGGTAGGCCAGTTGAGAACAAGTTCTCATTTACAACTGCGACCTGGCCAAGATAAAGCAAAGCAGTGCGATAAAAAACACAGAGTTACATATGGGACAAACAAAAACGTACAGTCAAAAATAGAAAATCTATATACAGTGTGTGCAAATGTAGTAAGTTATGGAGGTAAGGCAATAAATAGGCCATAGTGCAAAATAATTACAATTTAGTATTAACACTGGAGTGTTAGCTGTGCAGAAGATGATGTGCAAATAGAGATACTGGGGTGCAAATGACCAAAATAAATAACAATATGGGGATGAGGTAGTTGGGTGGGCTAAATACAGATGGGCTGTGTACAGGTGCAGTGATCGGTAAGCTGCTCTGACAACTGATGCTTAAATATAGTGAGGGAGATAAGTGTCTCCAGCTTCAGAGATTTTTGCAATTTGTTCCAGTCATTGGCAGCAGAGAACTGGAAGGAATGGCGGCCAAAGGAGGTGTTGGCTTTGGGGATGACCAGTGAGATATACCTGCTGGAGCGCATATTACGGGTGGGTGTTGCTATGGTGACCAATGAGCTAAGATAAGGCGGGGATTTTCCTAGCAGTGATTTATAGATGACCTGGAGCCAGTGGGTTTGGCGACGAATATGTAGTGAGGGCCAGCCAACGAGAGCATACAGGTCACAATGGTGGGTAGTATATGGGGCTTTGGTGAGAAAACCCTACCCCACCCCCACAAAAAATAAGAAAATAAGAAAACATAAAACAAATGAAAATTAAAAATATACTCAAAAAATTAAAATAAATAAATTGGTAAAGTGGTTGTCCCACTGCCTATTATAAGGTGAATGCACCAATTTGTAAGTCGCTCTGGATAAGAGCGTCTGCTAAATGACGTAAATGTAATGTAAAACGGATGGCACTGTGATAGACTACATCCAATTTGCTGAGTAGAGTGTTGGAGGCTATTTTGTAAATAACATCGCCGAAGTCAGTATAGTATAGTCAGTTTTACGAGGGCATGTTTGGCAGCGTGAGTGAAGGAGGCTTTGTTTTGCGAAATAAGAAGCTGATTCTAGATTTCACTTTGGATTGGAGATGCTTAAAGTGAGAAGGAGGAGTTTACGGTCCAACCAGACACCTAGGTGTTTGTAGTTGTCCACATATTCTAAGTCAGACCTGCCGAGAGTAGTGATTCTAGTCGGGCGGGCGGGTGCAAGCAGCGTTCGATTGAAGAGCATGCATTTAGTTTTACTAGCGTTTAAGAGCAATTGCAGGCTACGGAAGGAGTGTTATGGCATTGAAGCTTGTTTGGAGATTTGTTAACACAGTTTCCAATGAAGGGCCAGATGTATACAAAATGGTGTCGTCTGCGTAGAGGTGGATCAGAGAGTCACCAGCAGCAAGAGCGACATCATTGATATACAGAGAATAGAGTCGGCCCGAGAATTGAACCCTGTGGCACCCCCATAGAGACTGCCAGAGGTCCAGACAACAGGCCCTCCGATTTGACACATTGAACTCTATCTGAGAAGTAGTTGGTGAACCAGGCGAGGCAGTCATTTGAGAAACCAAGGCTATTTAGTCTGCCAATAAGAATGCGGTGATTGACAGAGTCGAAAGCCTTGGCCAGGTCGATGAAGACAGCTGCACAGTACTGTATTTTATCGATTGCGGTTATAATATAGTTTAGGACCTTGAGCGTGGCTGAGGTGCACCCATGACCAGAGGTATGGTGGGATTCATAATGGTCGGTGATCTGTTTGTTAACTTGGCTTTCAAATACTTTCGAAAGGCAGGGCAGGATGGATATAGGTCTGTAAATGTGCTAGTGGGAGCAAGGGAAGTTAGGGCAATAAACGCTTTTACAAACGCAGGCCCTGTCGCCACCGTGAAGACACATAGGCCGAAAGACAAAGCCCTGACCACCACTAGAAAAGCGATCGTCATGAGCTCAAACGAACCCCCCCCCTCCCAAAAAAAATATCGAGGGACCCATGCATTACCTGGAAAAAACGGGAGCAAGAGGGGCAATTATCGACGCCACATTGCTACTTAGTTGCAATATCGGTTACATAGTTTGCGGTTACAATGTTGCAACAGTCGCTTCCGATTATAAGTTACATTTTAATAACAACCATCGTCCATTTGTGTTTATCTTGCGAAATAGCTGATTTTCTTCGCTCAAATGCGACCCTCTCGGTCTTTTCAGGTAGCGAAGAGCTAGGCGTGGGGGGTGGGGTGACTTCTAAAGCCATTCCGCCCCCCTGCTATCAGTGAAAATGTAGTTCCTCTGCTCTCCCTTTCTCGTACCGCGTTTTCACTCAAAACCAACAGGTTGCCGTCGCCCCTTCCACATTTCATTGTTCCCTAATAAGACCATAGAATATATAAGACAATTGCGTTTCAATGGTGGATAGCCTACTTGGAGTAGTGTAGACGTCGCTAGGCTGCGTGCTAATAAGATCACATCCCATGAGCCGATGTCCACCGACAGTCCTGGTTTTTATTAGCGTTTCAGAGGCTCCCGTGGATGAATGGGTAGCCATATTCCCCAGGCTGGTCTACCTCCCCTCACACACAAAATACCATGACATACCACATTCCAGGGACACATAAAACCAAGGTAAATACAACTGAAACATAAGGGTAGCGCACCAAATGATACTCGAGTTGGATCGGTTTTCTAGGCATGATTCACACCAGATGCACGCACACTCGCCAAGGCGCGCGCAATACAGGCATTTTCACCCCGCCATGGCGAATGAACAGTCCACATTGCAAGGATTCATGCTAGCAAGTGCGTGCACAAGGAGAAAAAAAAACATTTACATAAATGTTTCATAAAATAAACGGAACTGTGGCCAAAACCACAACATGGTAGAGACGTACGTGTCTCCTGTAAAGGCAGCGTGCACGCCGTACTGCCTCAGCGAAGGACATATTAGAAAAACGTACCTCACTGGTCTTGACATTTTGCAGAAATACTGTAGAGGTTAAGAATGTAAGAAAGGGGAAATGAAATCCAGTGAAATAAAAATGAAATCGTCCCGCTCTGCAACTCCAAAGGGCGCAACGAAACGTTCCAACGCCTGAGCTACTGCGTAAAACGAAAAATACGGGAACTAATTTCTTTTCCAAACGCGATTTTAGTTTAAATTTTACCTTCGGCTACTCAAAATGGTGAATAAAACAAACTGAAACTGCAGCATGTGCGCAACCTAACTGATTGGCTCTAAGGCGGGCTCTTGGCACAGAGGACCGCCCATCCTCGCTGCTGAAAGGAGAGCATCAACACTCCAAAGCTTCGATTGGGCAGTTTGAATTATGATTTCCTTTTTGGTTGGAAATTCTAGTTGGTCATCAAACCCAGTGGTTCAACCCATTTACCCTCCCCCCTTTCAAGGATAGGTTGAGACAGCACTGCTAAGAAAACAAAAAGAGGCCCTCAGTGTGGATGCAAGTTGCCGGAGTTTGTGTCCGAAATGACCGCAATGTAACTTTCTGTTGGAAATGATGCGCGGCCAGCATAGTACTTACATGAATGGCTATAGTAGGCAATGCATATTCATTTGTCATATATTTTCCACTGAAGGGGGCTTGTGGTCCTGACACTGTACGTATCCTCAGGCACCCCCAGGCAGCCATTCCCAGGCAACAGAATTGGCCTACCTGGTAGATCTAAGTTGCTAAATGAATTGCACAGAAGACAGTCAGGTATAAATGTTGTTCTACAGTCTGAAAAAGTGAACATTCATAGCCTCCTCACCAATATCATAATGTCCAAACAATAATCTGATGTGAAATGCAAAGAATATTTAAACAGAAAAATGTGTCAGGTTTGACATCTATAGTTTCTCCCTGTCAATATACTGAGTAGCCCTTTCATAGACAGTAATGCTAAACATATGCCGTATATTCACTAACCTGTCTGCCGACCAGGGCAAATGCACAGACACTGCTCCGAAGCCCAGTCTAAACGTAAATAAGTTTAGGCAGAACAGTTTTGGAAACATTTGGAACTTAACTTTCATATCGATGAGTAATAATAATACAAAATAATGTTGAACTACTACACATTTTTAAAGGGTTAGGGTTCCCACAAGGCCATGTTTCCATGTTACAGCGCTTGTGTATGGAAGACGGAGGCGACCACCTGATTTAATTAGCTACAGTGCCTTCAGAAAGTATTCACACCCCTTGACTTTTTCCAAATATTGTTGTGTTACAGCCTAAATTTTAAATGGATTAAATTGATATTTTGTGTCACTGGCCTACACACAATACCTAATAATGTCAAAGTGGAATTCTGTTTTTAGAATTGTTTACAAATTAATAAAAAATGAAAAGCTGAAATTTCAATAAGTATTCAACCCCTTTGTTATGGCAAGCCTAAATAAGTTCAGGAATAAAAATGTGCTTAACAATTCACATAATAAATTGTATGGACTCACTCTGGGTACAATAATAGTGTTTAACATGATTTTTGAATGACATCATCTCTGTACCCCACACATACAATTATCTGTAAGATCCCTCGGTCGAGCAGTGAATTTCAAACACAGATTCAACCACAAAGACGAGGGAGGTTTTCCAATGCCTCACAAAGAAGGGAACCTATTGGTAGATATAATAAATAAAAGGCAGACATTGAATATCCCTTTGAGCATGGTTAAGTTATTAATTACACTTTGGATGGTGTATTAATACACCCAGTCACTACAAAGATACAGACGTCCTTCCTAACTCAGTTGCCAGAGAGGAAGGAAACCGCTCAGGGATTTCAACATGAGGCCAATGGTGACTTTAAAACAGTTACAGAGTTTAATGGCTGTGACAGGAGAAAACTGAGGATGGATCAACAACATTGTAGTTACTTTATAACACTAATGTGGTGAAAAGAAGGAAGACTGTACAGAAGAAAAATATTCCAAAACATGCATCCTGTTTGCAATAAGGCACTAAAATAAAACCGCAAAAATGTTGGCAAAGAAATTAACTTTATGTCCTGAACACAAAGCGTTATGTTTGGGGCAAATCCAACTCAACACATCACTGAGTACCCCTCTTCATATTTTCAAGCATAGTGGTGGCTGCATCCTGTTATGGGTATGCTTGTCATCAGCAAGTACTAGGGAGTTTTTTTAGGATAAAAAGAAAGGAATAGGGCTAAATCCTAGAGGAAAACCTGGTTCGGTCTGCTTTCCAACAGACACTGGGAGACAAATTCACCTTTCAGCAGGACAATAACCTAACACACAAGGCCAAATATACGCTGGAGTTGCTTACCAAGACGACATTGAATGTTCCTGAGTGGCCTAGTTACAGTTTTGACTGGAAAATGACTGTCTAGCAATGATCAATAACCAACTTGACAGAGCTTGAAGAATTTTAAAAAGAATTATGTCCAGTTATTGTAAAATCCAGGTGTGCAAAGCTCTTAGAAACTTACCCAGAAAGACTCACAGCTGGAATCGCTGCCAAAGGTGCTTCTACAAAGTATTGACTGAGGAGTGTGAATACTTATGTAAATGAGATATGTATGAATTTATTTTTCAATCCATTTGCAATAATTGTAAAAAACATGTTTTTACTTTGTCATTATGGGATATTGTGGTAGATGGGTGAGAAAATAAATACATTTAATCCATTTTTAATTCAGGCTATAACACAACAACATGTGGAATAAGTCAAGGGGTATGAATACTTCCTGAAAGCACTGTATCTATAGCGTCTACGAACACCTGTGTGTAACAGAAGGACGCCAGAAACGTGTTGTAACTTTAAAATATTGTCGCTGCAACTGTGTTAAAACCGGTTAAAACATTGTACAGTACATTTATATTTCAAATGTATGAAATTATTTTGATGTGATATGAAATTACAGGGCTTTAAGTTTCTAGAACCGTATCATAATCGAGAATCGATTCACGTTTAGATGAAGTATTTGGCTGTTTTGGCTGCCAGAGCTAGTCTACCTTTGAACATAACACATAAGGTCCTCGGCTTTAACAGTACATTCTTGGCCTATATACTGAGCTGATGGACATGGGCTATTCCCACACTAAATACCTTCATGTTATATTGATGACAAGACAATACAGCCATGAGGGGCGCGCTATTCTGGAACAATCTTTATTTAAAAAAATGTCCTGCTGTTTAGTCATATGCTTTTCTTTGTTTACAAAAATCCTTTAAATTTGAAAATATTGTCTTATGATGAATGAAAGGATTGTGCTGAGTCCTATTAGAATATGTATGTTGTATTTCTTTCACAGTTGTTTTTCTCCCTCCACAGTCAAGTGAGCAGCTGGAACCATTGTGGACCTCCAAGGACATGAATCCATTCATCTATTCAAGGCCTCTATTACCTGCATTTAGCCTATGCTACACTGCCCCAAGAGAGCAATGGTAATGAAAATGTAATTCATTTCAATAGAGAACATTAGAATATGAATGAAGTGTAGGCCTACTCCACTCCACTGGAACCAGTGGAAGTATAGAAGTCTGTTGTAAAGTCATACCATTATCAGACAGTCTGAGTGAACCCCTGCTCTTTCTCCTTTCATTCCTCTAACCTCTGGTGTCAATCATTAATGTGAACCAGTCATGGACGAATCTGAGATAGGCAATTAATTATGTCAAATAGAGATTAATTACCCACAGCTAGATCTTGACAAAAAACTAGAGCTAACACAGGCGCTTAACAAAAACCTTTATTTTTGAGGCTGGTGTAATTTAAAGTCTGCCCCCACACATCTGCGGTAACTAAGAGTAGGCTTTGCTCAAATTGTAGGCTGGGTTCAGTGCTGGCTTGGAGAGGGAAGTGTTGTCAAAGAGCTGTGTGTGTGTGTGGGCGTGTGTGCATGAGTGTGTGCGCGCAATGTGTGTGCATATGAAATGTTTTCAGTTATGGTTTGAAGTCGTGTGGAGCTGAGAACTGGACTAAATTTAGAGCAGTGTTGATAGATATTATTAGAACTATGTAGTGAGCTGAGCATAACTGTGTAGAGATCCATGATTATGATACTGTGTACATGTATAAAATAACATTGTGAGCAATACAGGGTGAGCAATGCAACATTGACATTTTAAGTGTAGTATTGAATAAACAATGAATTCACTGATACATGACAAACATTGTGAGGTGTGTTACAGTCAGAGGCATTGTGTGGTGTGTATGGAAGGTGTGTACATGAGACCTGTGGATTGTAAATGTATGAGGTGAAGCAGCTTTAAAAATGCACGCTGTCTGTCTTCTCGAGTGTTCTGTGTGAGATCAGACTGAGCTCTGTCTCTCTGTGCTCAGGGCCGATACTGGAGTAAGGAGAAGACACGTTTCTATGGTAACCAGGTGAGAGAGTTTCTCCCCTCTACATCCCTTCTTCTGCTTTCTTTCTCAATATTTTGCGATCGTAAGGCCTGCAGATTTCTCGGCGCGAAAACACAGACAAAAAAGATTGGAGGAATTGGTTTCGATGTTCAATGTAGCCAAGGTTGTTTAGAAGAAACAGTTTGGCACTCACCTTAGCAACACGCCAAAGCAGATATCTTTCAGTGTTTCAGCTTTTCAGTGAACGTCAGGTACATAGAAAAAGGAATTCATACTCTCTGCTACCTTGCCTTGCATCCATAGACATTTTATATAAATATACAGTACCAGTCAAAAGTTTGGACACACCTACTCATTCAAGGGTTTTTCTTTTCTTTTTACTATTTTCTACATTTTAGAATAATAGTGAAGACATCAAAACTATGA